TTTTTTTTTTTTTTCTTATTTTCTGAATCTTTCAAGTTCGCTAGAAATAGTTTGAATAATCACTAAGTTTGTGATTAAGAAATAGAAAGCATGCATTTTCCCAGCTTAGGGTATTTCCATGGACTTGACGAAGCAGATTTTCGAATTTGTAATTTTCAGGTATCGCATATCAACGCTGTATCGAAGCAGCAAGCATTTGACTTCGTTGAAGATGACCAAACACGTGGCTAATTAAACTAATTTGGCTGTTTGGCTCGCAGCCAGGATTAACCGTTTCAGGTGCGATCCCGCTGTAAGCAGCTGTAATCTCATGTTAGTTTTTGGCTTGTTTCGTACTTCTAAAGATTTCATTTGCCTTATCTGTAAATTAGTTTTTTTTATGAATTGTTCACCGAATTAGTTCGGGAATGTTTCACATTTCTGAACAGTTTGCATGTCTGTAGAATAAATTAGCATGTTTTGCATTTCTTTTTTTTTTGATTTTTAATCATTGAGCTGAATTTCATATCTGTAAAATATATTTGCTACTTTCTCTTGTGCGCTAGTAACCTGGTTTGGCTTTACATTTTTGCGTAATTTTGATTTGTCCTTTTTTTTGCATCATGTATTTCCTCTGAGGTAAATTCACTTGTTCTGCAGTTCAGGATCTGTGCATTTTTTTTGACAACCTTATATTTTTTGACATTTTTTTCGCGAAACATCAGATGGTTTAAATCGCAAAAAAGCATTATATTCAGTGGATTACATTCATTATATTCAGTTCCGTTTTTCTTATTTTCCTGCACAGTTTGCGCAAAGAATTCGTGAGAAAATTGTGGCACCATTCTTGTTGCATATTTTAATTCTCGAAATGCAGGAGGTTGAAGGTCTAGACAACTGGAATTCCCGTCCCATACCGGACCCAAATGTGAAAATTTCTCGAATCCCGTCTTAACTTTGCAACTTGAGGACGAACAGAATCGCATCCAACTGAAAGTTTTGAAAGCTTAGCCGTTCGCGAATTGGATTGAATTATTTTCAAATCGGACTGAAAAGTTCATCGTATTTTGCTTTGGTCAAACATCCAAACATATGCTATAGCTACTTTATTTGGTTATGCACCGAAGATGGCTGGAATTCATCTTTCAAAATCCTCCCTTTTCTGGCCATTTTTAATGTGATTTTACAATTTCAAAATGAGGTCAGCCATAAAAGCGAAATTTTTGAGCTTTTTGCACAGCTGAAGCAACAGAAAGTAGGATTAGAATTTTTTAAGCTATATGCACAAAATTTTTGAGCTTTTTGCATATCCCACTGGGAGATGAAGCCTAAGAAATTATAATTACT